CGATACTATTGATTTGTTAAGATCTTTTAGGATCCTGAAGAGTCAGCGACTAGATGACAACATTATAAAGTGTCAAGTGTGATGGTAGCTATGGAAAAAGGGTGGCCTTGGGAGACCAGGACACTAGTAAAAGATGAGAGATGGTGCATTAAACCAGTGCATTAGACTGGAAAGTAAAGTCATAGTAGGGAATGAAGAATACGGAAAGATAGTTGAAGGTATGTCTCGAGCATAAAAGGAAGACAACCAATATGAAGACCGTCTCGAAACATGCAGATAATAGGAACTAAATATGATAATGATAAGTCCATGCACTACCTTACATTGGAGTAATAGACTACGATGATGAACAACTTAAAGGGAGGAACTTTGTAAGCTCTACTTACAAGTTCTGAGATTTGTGATAAAAAGATAGGTTTTCGTGGAGAATGTGATAAGGGCATCAGAAGGAATAAAAATTCAAGATGTGATAACTAGATGATAAGTATCTGGAAGAAGATTTCAAATGATGGAATATTAAAGAATGCAAATTGAATGTCAAAAGGTTTTATGGTACTAACAAGGCGTGGACAAGAATTAACACTTAAAGTTTCTTGAAATTAACTATTAAGAAGAAAATGGTGAACAAAGGAAAATTTTGAAATTTCCAAGGATGAGTCAGGGAGAAGAACTACTACAATGTGAAAATCATAGGGTGAATTGGACCTTAAAGGAAATTCCCTCATTTCTTTTGAGGGGTAGATGGTAAGAAGTATAAGGAGGTGTGATGATGTGATCTTACAAGAGCTCACAACTTTTAGATGCTGAGTAAGAACGATATGTGGTGATTAGAATTACAACATACACGAAGGAACCAAGGATACAAGATTTTGAGATTCCATGGTGAGTAACATAAGACACTGACCAAGCACACTCAAATGTAATTAGATATTAATTTTGAGTACTGCGGCTAATTCGGATTTGGCAACTGGTCAAAGAGCAGGAAAACTTATGATAATGAGATCTTCTATGAAGAGTCCAAGTTGAAAAAATTATATGGAATTCTGGGTCCATAAGGTATAAATATGAGGCAATGAGTTTTTTGTGAATAAATAAACAAAACCTCTTGCTACATGATGAGGATCATCTTGTGTTTTATCCTTAAAAGAAATGCCCTCATTTCTTTTAAGGGGGAGATAGCTAGGAGAACCAAGATACAAGTGACGAACTCATTTAGATACAACACGATTTTGAAAGTTGACTTGAAACAATTCAGTGTGATTTAGATCTTCTAATCATCATATTCTTATGCTTTCAAGCCTAAGAAATGTGTTAACTCATGAAATGAGACTTTTAGTTTGACATGATCGTTAAAGTAAATGAAATGGATATGAACAAGGTTAAGGAAGTAAATTTATACTTATATGGTATGGTACTCATTGGTACACTGGTAGTAAATAAAGAATGATATACAGGATTAGGTTATCTTGTGGAGAACACTAAAGGAAAGCATCTTACGTATAAATTGATTTGAAAACATTGTTGGGGGTAAATGTAATTTTTGTAACTTTAGAGTAAAACCTTTGGGAAGTGAAATAAAAGTATTAGTAGGGCCTAAATAATAAAATAGAATGAATGGAAGCTAACAAGTAAACTTGAATTGCAATGTGTAATGTAGTATAATGTAAATATCACAAAAGGATAGGTTTCATAATGTGTTTTGACATGTAGTCTATATGAAACGTTCCAAAATTTAAGACTAAAAATTTTGATTTTTTTTAATCAATAAAACCATTATACAGGACAAAATCATCAAAACCATAGTGAATCAAAGTGTATCGATAGGATCTAAATATATCATAGTCATATAAATTAAGGAGCGATGTGGTGTGTGCACTACAGTCATATCGGGCTCTTCCCTTTGAACGACAAGTACATGAACATAAACTGAAAACCCTAAGCAAAAATATTAGTCAGTTTCCAAAAATATACTATATCAAACATATAATGGGCCTCGCCTGGCATCGAGCCCTACTTGGTAAACAGATATGTCAGTCGTTGGCCCCCGCTCGACATTTGTCCCCACCCGATATACATATAAACATGTAGACATATAAACACATAAACACATGCAATAATCACAAAAATAAATAGCATACATAATAGTCATAGGGACCTGCTTGGTAAACATGTAAGCACATAAAATATGTAAGAGTCATGTAGACATTTAGCATCCTAAACATAGCAACCCATAGGCTGGCATTGGTGCCTTCGACCCGCTAAACACAGTAAGGAAACTCACCTCACAGTCTAAAACAATAGCTGCACTGATCACTGTTCTAAAAGCTATCTCTACCCTTCAGCTATACAATTAGCAGGAACCCAAATCTCAAACAATTAATCAAATTACCCAAAATACCCTTACATTAAACTTGTTTAACCCTTGTCAAAGTCAACAGTCAAGGTCCAAATTTCAATATTTCTTCCCAGCGAAGTATGCCTTGTGTACCAAGATAGTGATGCTAACCAAAAGCGAGGTGTTGACCACGTACATGCAATGTACTACCAGGCATGCCCAATATATGTAGTCGGGTCCCAAAACACCATTAAGAGATTATTTCATTAACCCCTTACGTCCAAAACTCGGATCCAATCCCAAAATGATATCCTAAGTCATAAAGTTTCCAACTTTAAGACTTTGCATGGCTATAAAGTCCTTAATAACCAAAACCCTAAGTTCTTAAACCAATAAGACATCACAACTCTTGTATGGATGGGATGGAAGGGCCAATATCACATTTTCATTGTTCATAATAATCCCATAACGGATAAAGTTTCCAACTTTATTCATTCGAATGATCCCAACAAACAAGATGTAGTCTAAAGTATCAAAAGGATCCAAAAGAGGATCTTTTTAAACTTAATCCATTAAGTCCAAGCCACTAACCTTCAGATCTGAATCAGAATGATGTTTAGATGCATAAAGTTCCCAACTTTATCCATAACAAGGTCAAAAACTTTCAAGATCTAAACTTTATGCACTTAAAGTGACCCAAAGCTCATAACACCCAAAATTAGCTAGATCTAATAATTTCATCATCAAGATTCAAACTTTATACATCTAGAAGAAATATCAAGGTGGAAAAAGTATGGATCTACTAGCTCTAATGCAACCAACACTTCTTCAATGAGTTCCTTCTTCTCCAAGGTGAACCAACAACACTCCAAAGCAATTAAAACACCGACTTTTTGCTCTCAAGGCGTAATCTAAGGTTAGGGTTACAAGAGAGGGTGTTGGAGAGCTCGAAGCTGAGAATGGTGTAACACATGGAAACTAGTAGGATAATTTAGGAAAGATAATAAGAAAACAAAAGGTTTACTCGTCGACTCCAAGGGGGACAAATCGATGAGTAGAAATTGGTTTTTGGATGCGTGATGAGAAACCTACTCGACGAGTTATAGAGGACCAAATCGACGAGTTGGTCAAGGTTTGGGAAACCCTAGATTTGGGGTTTTGTACCCTATTTAAGCATCTTAATCCCCACCTGATGGCCTCATTTCCAGCTTCCGTTGTCCAAACCCTAATTCTTGTGTGCCATTTTTGAGTGAAGCTTGTGTGATTTGAAGCTTGTAAAAGAAGAAGAAGAAGCCAAAGGATTCCAAGAGAAGATTGTAGATGCAGAAGAAACATGCTATCCTCTTCATTTTCTGGTAATCAAGCCTCTAACTTGTCTAGTAGTCTCTTAGATATCCTTATCTCACTTTATCAGGGTTTTTGGTCCAAGAAGCTTAGTCCTTGGGAAATGCACATCCCATGTGATTTATCTTTCAGATCTGGGATATAGGATGGGTTTCATGGCATAAAGATGTAAACTTTATGACCATGGAAGCCCCATGCAAGCTTTAAGTTGGTCTTATGGCCATTTAAGCCCCAAAAAGCCATGCATGGATGGAAATAATGAGACTTTACGTGTTCATTTGGTATCTAGGACTTAGATCTCGGTTTTCGTGCTTTGGTTTGGAGTATTATGGCTTTTGGACAAATATCTATGTCCTAAAGACTAGGGTTTTAGCTAAACCCACTAAGAAAAACACTACAAGAAAAACATGATTTTGCTAGGGAAGGTCGTTATGGAACATATTTTCGTTGTTAGTCTACAATGGATCGTGCTATGGAATTTTGGTCGTTAGCAATGTTGCTACCATATTGTCTACGAATTTTATTTTTGGGAGCGAGAATGGGACTTGATAGAGAAAATGCTATCGACTAGATATCCGTTGGTATTATGCCACCGATAGTTCTATGGAACAAAAATTCGTACCAATTTTCCAACGACATTCTTTACAAAATCACTTTTCGTTGTACTGTTGCTATGGAATTAATTATCATGGTTACTATGCAACGGAGTTTGTGACAGGAAACCACCTCCATAGTTCATTTTCTATGTAAGTATCATTTGTAGGTATTTTTCTAGGGAATTATGCTATGGAATATGATTTTGTTTGCTTGTTTTGCTATGGAACAAAGCGCATAGCTAATTTGTGACGGCATTTGTTGGGATATTATATGCTTAATTAATTTTATTATTCTATGTATGAGTTATCATAATGATCAATGGAATTTGTAAGATATGGTTTGAATGAAATTTTTAAATTCGTAATATGTGGCATAAACTAATGGCTAAAAATGTAAAAGTGAATTACAAAAGTAGATATTGCTCGCAAGCAGACTCGAACTTAAGCTTATGCTAGAAAAGGGCGCAGTTAAGCTAGTGGTGCTTATTAAGTTGTGTATAATTTCTTGAAAAACATAGTACATAATGACTAATTAACCATGTAATTTTATTAGAACTCAGGCCCTATTTTTTTCATGGCCTGTGCTGTTGCACCTCTTCCACACCCTTAAAATCGGGCATGTTAAAGTATATAATCTATGTAGTTTATTTTCCTTAACAACAAATTCATTACAAACTCATTTTTAATTGCATTAACTATACTTCATCACAAAAATAACATAGGTTTTACATATACTTCATCCTACTCAAACAACATAACAAGCAAAAATGACTAAAATGTCGTTTTAATAGAATGATGTAAACATAAAAACAAAATAAAATTATAGTAGTATACAACTTCATATACAATACAATATGAAAACTAATATTCAATTTCCAATCTATTATCAACCATTTATATTTTTAATAAATATACAAAACCTACCATACTCTACATACCAACGACAAACCATGCAATATCTTTGTAGATCCTCATCCTGTTCATGACCTATTGCAAATGCACCTTTAGTGGAATAACGTGGGTTTTCATATTGGAATGTGATGTTATTTGTTGTAAGTCTATGAACAACATCAACAACCCACAAAAACACTTTGGCACTATCAACAGCATCCGTGTACTCGCCATCATCCGGAACTGCCCAGCCAAAATAGGCATCAAGTAATTGTAAACCTAAACATTAAAATATCCAGCAATTAATACAATGTATCCTTTTCAATACAACAGTAAATATTATACAACACAACACAGCTAAATACTAACCCCAAGCTACAAACATGCCTTAATTAACTATATATATAATTAAATTTACATATATACCATATATACATACCTTCATCACATTGATGAGGCCCTCTTGAAATGTAGATCATTCCAAGCAAATAAATTTCCTCAAGATGATCTTCATCTACTGCTTGCCTCAACAAAGTCAATCCTAAATCAAAATTGTCATAATAAAAGCACTCATCCTATTGACAGAATAAAAATATCAATATATAAGATCAATGAAACTAAATATTAATAAATGGTATAGATTACATATAATTACGGAAACTACACATAAAATTCATTGTCTGAACATGGCTTTAATGTTATTATGCAATGCACATGTGGGTATAAATAAATCAGCTTTCAGATTTTTTGGGACCCATTCCCTCAAACATGTCAATGCATGTTATTTTGTACAATTGAGGATCACCCCCGCTTCATACATCTTCATTGAACTTCAAAAATTGAAACACACATTAACTAACAAATAAATAAAGTTGTATTTCATCAAATATACATTCATTAGTTGATGTTTATTGAAAATTACCAAAGTCCTGCAGAGACGATGTCTTTTGCAGATTCTGCCCCTATACTACAAATATCTGACTCAAAATCTCTAGTGGGATAGCATCTAATGAACGGCGACTTCTAGTATTCAACATTATACTTACAAAATACACATTGGATTAGTTGATTTCAAATATTTTTTAAAAAAATAAGTGTAACTATGAAAGACAATGTAACAGGGTATGGAAAAATAACTTACTTTACGATGATCTGCTCATGAGGATTAAATGAGTCTCTATACTCGGAGAAAATCGTTCTTAAGAACGATTATCCTTCAACGATTTCGGGGTTTTAGTATTTGTATGCAAATTTATCATCTGGACAAGTTGAGATGTTCTAAATGGTTGAAGAACTGAAACACCGACGTGACGTCAGAGGTATGATGGCGCCTTAACGATTTAGAGTGCAAAAAGACCAAATTGCCATTGAAATCATTCCAAATATGTAAATACTAAGGGTATTTGTGTAAAAACACATTGTTCAAATATTATAACCTTTTATAGCTAGGTAACAGTGGAGTTTTAATTGTTGAAATGAAAAAGACAAAAATAACATATTTATATCATAATCCATAATGTAATACTTTTATATTAACATTTTACCAAATTACTAGTATATATTCAAGTATTAATATATATATATATATATATATATATGTGTGTGTGTCTGTGTGTGTGTGTATATATATATATATATATATATATATATATATATATATTAAAAGTGGAACAAGATTTTAATAGTATACTTTTTTACTTTAGATTTTAGACACAATAGATTTCTTTTGTTGCCACTTTTAGTCCCTATGTTTATAGTAGCTTTATTTACTTTGATTTTAGCCACAATACCTTTTCTTTGTTGCCTCTTTTAGTACCTATGTTTATGCCTTTACAATTTTACCCCATGCCAAGCATGGGTTCTCCACTAGTTGACATTAAACCAAATTACCGAATACAAAATAAAATACATGTATGTTTATGCCTTTATAATTGTATTTTATATGTATTTAATACTAGGAAAGAACAAACATTTGCTACATACAACTATAATCATAATACAATATAAACACTAAATTGAAAGTCCAAAACACATTATTCAAACACTTTTCAAACATCATTCCAAACTTTTACTCTTTTAGTCCCTTATTACCAACACAACATATTTACTAATCAAGTAATTACTTAACAAGTAAATTACTATATATTTGTATATTAAACCAAAAGAATGTACATATCCTTAATTGTCATAATATGAAAGTACATATCAACAAACTAGTCATAAATTATACCAAACTCGCTAGAAAACCTAACGAAACAAGCATCCCAAAAACAAATTTCACACCTAAACACCCATTTGTATCCATTCAAAAAAGCGTCTAACACACTAATTACAGACTTATGTATTGCGCAAGTTATATGGAAGCCATGAAAGTGTACATGTTTCCTCCCCTCCTTATTTAAGTTGAGATGAACCTTAGAACAAGTTGCTCTAAGATTTCATTTACCTTTTGCTCTGCAGTAAGCATTGTTCAACATGTCGAAAGCTTCCTACTTCCTATGTCTCCCTTCAGCCATCACCATCATTCCCAGGACAAATGTTGAATCCAAATGTCCCAATGCAGATGCTTCTTCAAATATTGTTTTCCTTTCATGTTCAGCTTCTTAGAAAAGTAACTTTATCTGGAAAAAAAACCTTAACACATAATTTCTAGTTAAAGTTATGCAATACAAGAAACAGATTAATTAATACTATGCATATATATAACAACGTACCAATCTATTCTTGAAAAAAATATTTGGGTTTCTCATCTCCATGCATTTGTTGACAACTGCATGTTTTTGGTCAAACCAACCATGGAATCGTAATCCATCTAACTCTATATGTTTATATACTTCATTCGTTTTTCCTGCTTCGTTCAAGAATATGAAACTACAAATGAAACACAATATTCGCTCCATAGTGTAAAGACAACTCAAATACACTTGTGAAATAGAATGATCGAAGACAAAACTTACACACTCTTCATCCTGAAAGCCTCGACTGCTGAAATTTTTCCCAAATCGACTATTATTTTCTCCATCACTTCCAATGGCATATCTGTTAGCGATTTCCTTTGATTTCTTGACTGCATCTTCGAAGAAGTACTGGCTTCGATAACAATAATCCTGAACTAAAATAACGATTCAGAGAAAATGATTTTAGGGTTTTTTGACTATCGGAATTCTGAAATTGGGGTTTTTTGCAAGTGATTTAAATAAGAGTGAAGAGCTGAAACAACATGTTTCTTTGGAAAACATTATGGCGCCTAGAATATGTTCCATTATAAAATGACCAAATTGTCCTCATATATACAATGAGTCGTATTTAATTAGTAAGGGTAGTTTGTCAAAAGTCATAATTAAAAGAAAAATCAATTTCTATTTTAATACACAACCAGCACAAATGATATCTGTTGACTAATGACCTATATGTCATCCATGGGTGATACCATCACACCATAAGTAACTACCATGTTGACCAATGACTCGTATGTCATCCATGGACACCATAAGAAACTACCATGTTAACCAATGACCCGTATGTCATCCATGGACAACATAAGCAACTACCATGTTGACCAATGACCCATATGTCATCCATGGGTGATACCATACACCATAAGAAACTACCATGTTGACCAATGGCCTGTATGTCATCCATGGACACCATAAGCAGCTACCATGTTGACCAATGACTCGAATGTCATCCATGGACACCATAAGCAACTACCATGTTGACCAATGACCCGTATGTCATCCATGGATACAATAAGCAACTGTCATGTTGATGAATGACCTGTATGTCATCCATGGACACCATAAGCAGCTACCATGTTAACCAAGGACCCGTATGTCATCCATGGTGATACCATGACACCATAAGCAATTACCATATATATATATTGACATGACTCGTACATCTTTTATATATAAATTTTGGTTTAAACATAAAAGCGTATGGATGTATAATTTATTAACGTTTAATCCTCTTCTATAATTTTAAATTAAAATTATACTATGAACACCTCGTTAGTCTATGTTCTTTCTTGATGTTAGCTAGATTTATATACCATATCTATCGATCTGGAACTACTTTAATAAATTTGAATTACTAAATATTTAGCAGTAATTAGCACAGTTCGCTTTTTTCATTAGCAGAGCTTCAAAATATTTCAAAATTCCTTTCCTTCCAGCCTACACACATTTTGGCTGCATATTAGGGTAAGTTTACTAATTAGAAATAGTGTTTACATTTTCTGTAATTGTCATCTTTGGCGGCTAATTGATCAAAATAGTTGTTCATTATATGTGTGTGCACTGACTTGGTGATAAAGGTTGTCACTCATCTCAAATTTATTTTTATTCAATTTACTGTTATCATGATGATCGTTTCTTGTTCTCTGATCATCTTCATGTATATTATCATCTTAAATTACAAGTAAATTGGTTTTGATTGTATTCAATAGTTTGCATGCGCAGTAATGCCTTCATATATAATTTATTTTTATTGTTTATTTCTCTCTTCTCATCAGTAGTTTATCATCTTTAATACATTGGTATTGACTATATTTTTTGTTAATTTTGAAGCAAGAAAGATGTCAAACTCGAAAGCAAAAGGAGCATCCGGTGTGAAACCAATTAAATTCACTACACCACAGGTTATGAAACGCAACATGATTTCAGCTGCAAAATTCATAAATAGACAATTACATGATCAAGAAATCGACTTCCCAATACCAACAAACACATCCAAAGTACCTATAACATCTACCAACAAAACCCCTAAACATATATCATTAACATCAACCATTACTACCATTTCCTCGGCATCAGTTACAACATCCACACCGTCCTTAGAAAATACATCTAAAACTTCAAAAACTGGAACAATACAATCCTCAACACTTACAACAATAATCAAAACTTCAACACCTACATCATGTAAACCATCCTCAACATCGACACCCACTACCACATCATCAACACCTATATCTACTACCATAACCTCAAAAACTGCATCTATACTACCATCCTCCCTAACTATAGTAAGTACCACACCCTCCTTAAGTAAATGAACTACCACATCCTCAACATATACATGTATGCCAACACCAACCCCAGAATATACCCCATCAACACCATTATTCCAGAATCTACCCCATCACCAACACAACCAACCATGAATGGATCTGTTGTGGAAAGTGTAGAAGGTGAAAACATATTCTCTGAAGATTGTGGACTAGATGGGTGTTTAACTGTTTATGTTTGGAAAATTAAAATGTGAGTTACCAATCAAATCTTAATTACAACTATTTCTATGTATAACCTTTTGGTTTACACATACATATTAATTCATAAATTAACACATCACATGATTACTTGCAAGCTAATGCCACCAGGACCTTGTGCACACTTTATTAGTCGGTCCATTTTACAAAGAGTAGATCCACAAGGGTACACTTGGGTAAAAGTGAGCAAAGAAATGCACAAATTATATTGGGAGGAGTTTCAGGTAATTAATTATATGTGATAAATTGTTGTTTGGTAAACATTTACACTTAAACTAATGTTTATATTATTAATGTGTAGAAAAAATGTTACTGGGATGAATCAATAGACTTGTTGGTGAGGCAAGCTTGGACAAGCAAAGTGGCACAAAGTTATGGTCAATATGTCTTCAACATGTGGATCCCAAAAAGAAACTAACATGGCTTTAAACCAGCTCATATTCCATAGGAAGTCTGGAACTCCTGGCTATTAAAATGGGATAAAATTTGAGCAGAACAAGAACAATAGGCGTAACGGTGTGGCTGATGGAGTAGCAAAATCTAAACATAATGTTGTATCCGCAAGTCATTTGAGGATAGCTTCTAATTTGGTAATTTTTTAATGGTACATCGTATTAATGTTTATATATGTTTATCTATATATTTGGCATTTTATATGGTATTTATGCAGAAGATGAAATTCGGGTGAAAGACCCCAACTTTCATATTTTTGAAAGACCCAAAATTTCATACTTCACAATATCATTACTCCAAAACATGCTATTTGCATATTCATAAAAGCAATATTTTACATTGATAAAGGGAATTACAAACTATTGGATACAAACCTTTTATAACAAAGTGTTATATTTATTACATAACTACCCAGGATATTGTAATTTATACAAACATAAACTGTAGTACAAAAGTACTATTACAAACTATTCTACATCTTTCAATAGTATGTAAACATACTAGTTACTTATCACCTGCAATTCTTAAACATTGATAGGGTAAGCGGTGATGCTTAGTGAGTTCAAAAACAGATACAATATAATGTTATGCCATATATATACTTTAATGTGGCAAAAGCAAAGAGGAACAACAAGATGTATGTGAGATCATGTGACATGCGTTCATATCAATCAAAGACTTTATTCAAAGATATAATTTTCAATTCTTGATATACATCAATAAAGCTTTGGCCTAAATGGCATAGAAGACATGCAATTTCTGATTAACATCTTGTTAGATTTCAGGCGTATAGTCTTGTCTAACCATTTGTCAATGCCATAGAATAGAAGTCATTCTCTTACGGAGACATGCTCTACATGGCCAGAGGCTAAGTACCAGTACCAATGTGAATCTAAGTCCTTTCACTGATCACATGGTCAAAGGTATTACAATTGCTATAAACATAGTGAATAACACGAGAAAATAACTCAAAATAATAACACTGAAAAGCACATAGCACATATAACACATAACATACAATTATTCCTATATATTGAACTCATCTTAAGTTAACTGGGGGTTAAAATAGTAATTTGGACAACACTTCGACTTTAAATATGTCTTTCTATGTTGAAAACCAGGAGCTTGATTGAAAACCGGGCTCTGCGAAGGTAGGGCTTCAAAACTGAAAAGATAAAATTTCCAGGCTTCTCGGGGGTCTCGGGATGTGTTTTGGGTGCTAAAATTGATATCAGGGCTTCAAGGAAAGTCAAAATGAACAAAATATGGAAAGAGGGGCTAAAAGTGGCAAATTTCCAAAGTTAGTCGGAAGGTCTAGCAGCCCCCTTTATATAGGGCCGAGGTTCGGAGTCGGTTTGGGAAGGAAGCAAGCAGCGAAGCTGCTCGGTGGCGTCAGCAGCGAGGGGTAGGTGGCGCGAGAAGCGAAGGCCACGAGGCTCGGCTGCGAGGCAGGTAAGCGAGACGTGGCGAGATTCGGACACTGCAGCGAGGCGCATCGAAAGCTGATTGATTCGCACTTCGCTCAAATCGGAAGGGAACACGCGTCGGTCTCGGTTTGGGCCACATCTCCGGTGATGCACCTGCTTCGTGCGAGGTGACGTGGCTGGTACTATTCATGCGAATTTCTTTGATTTTCAGGCCCCGAACTTCTAAAATCCATAACTTTCTCATACGAACTTCGTTTTTGACGTTCTTTATATGCACGTGTACCTAAAATTACGCTCTACAACTTTCGTTTAGACTTTGTCGGCTAATTTTGATTTTATTTTTAATATTATTATTTTTAACAGACCGGGACAGTAAAATCCGTTAAAAATTCATAACTTCTTCATCCGACATCCATTTCGTCAGACTTTGTACCGTTGTACTACAAATGACGAGACCTTCGATTCTCGTTTAGGATGTATCGGTAAAATATCGCTCGATCTAAATTTCAAGTTTTTAGCTGTCTACTACTAAGTTGAAACTTCGAAAAATCATAACTCCTCATACGAAGTCAGATTTTGATGTTCTTTTTATCGAATTTCTTGGTTTAATGAATATTACGACTTTTATTTAGATTACTAAGGCTAAAAAGTAGTTTATCAAAAACTCACTTTTTACGTCATTCGGTGTCTTGCAGGTCTTGTCGCGGATCTTCGGTTGGTCATAACTTCTTCGTTATAACTCGGATTTTGACGAGGTTTTCGCCTACAAGTTTCTAACAAGATTCTCTACAACATCAAATAATAAAATTTTACTTATTTAAAACTTTATATTTTCGCTAAATTTCACTATTTGGCTTTTAATTGGAATCTCATAAGACTTCCAATATTTTCTGAGTGATTCTAAACATAGTTTTACTTTACTCCTAGTAAAAACCATCTGTTAGAACTCAACACTCAAATTTTACATAATATTTCACAATTTTATTCATTACAAAACAAAATTTCAAAACGTGTATGTTACAAATACCTCCTCATTTTGAGGATTTCGTTCCCGAAATTACATCGATTAAAATAAATGGGGATATTTTGCTTTTATATCATTCTTATTCTCCCAAGTATAGTTTGGGCCACGATGGTGTTTCCACTTGACAAGCACCAATTCTACTTCTTTATTGCGTAGCTTAGTTGTTCTTTCATCCATGATTTCTTCAGGCTCTTCAACATATCTTAACTTATTATCCAATTTCACCTCGGATAATGGAATTGTCTCATCGTAGATGCTCAAGCCTTTGCGCAGATAACTTACATGAAAGACATCATGAATACCTACCAAATATTCAGCAAATTCTAAGCGGTATGCTTGCTTTCCAATTCTCTGTATGATTTTGAAAGGACCAACAAATCTAGGACTCAACTTTCCTTTCTTCCCAAATCGTATAAGGCCTTTCCATGGGGATACCTTCAGCATCACGAAATCACCCCCTTGGAATTCTATAGGTCGT